GGTTTTTTTTTTTTTTTTTTTTTTATGTACATAACTCCAGCGGAAAAGATTCCCTTGACCTGTGGTCATGCTCTCCCAGAAGGAACACAGAAGGGGGAGGGGACAGGCAGGCCAACTGGAAGTTATCACATATACATTCAGAGCAGACTCCTCAGCACTGTGATTCCACTGACTCTGAAATCCTCGCCACCACCACACCAGATAAGAGCCGCAGAATTATTTAAAAAACACACACAAAAACCATCACAGCCACTTCAGGAAACACTCGCTGCAAACGGTCTTTTCTGCACGACTGTCGGAAAGGTACCATACACTATGTTTTTTTTTCTGATCATAGCATAGAGACCCATCTCCAGGTTTCAAAGACTTTTCACAATACCTTCCCTAAGCAGGCACTTAAGTGTGACAAATATAAGGGCCCCCTTTTTCCCTGCACATAACCCCCCCCCAAATCCATTTTTAATTAAAAAGAGCATTAGGTGAATGGGGGTGGTTGACTATATCATTATGGCATTTCCTAAACCATAGATAAACCATTAACTTCAGCTTTCTCCCCCCCCCCACACACATACCCCCCCAAATCAAGCAGGCAAATAAATACTCTAGTCCACCTTTGAGCAAACTGAGGATCGTAAACAAATGGGCCTCCCGGCCCCACTCAGCCAGAGCTCACGGGGGCTTTTGGCCACAGGAAGACAGTGAGTGGGGACAGCCAAACAGGTTTCAGATATCAAATAATATTTTAATTTCTGAATACTTTCAAATTTTCCTTGGAATATAACACACAAAGACTCGACCAAACAGTTCAGTTATTATAACTTTTACAGTATACAGAAATGTTGCACTTAAAAAAAAAAAAAAACCTTCAGTTTTTTTTTTTTTAAAACACAAACTGTAAACTCTAAGGTAGGGACTCAATCACATTACCTATAAGTGCCAACAGTTGTCATGCTGATTTCAATGGCATTTTTTTTTCTTTTAAAAAGGGAATATCAACAATTATAATACAAAGGGTTTGCAAATGTACAAACAGATATACGGTTTTCATAACAATTCAAGAACTAAGCGGGACTCAATTCAAATTACAAAAGTTCACGTTTTATTGAAAACCTCAGCACGTGTCTTGGACACATTCCTGGGCTGCCAATAAATTCCACAGTTCATTCTCTTTCTTAAAATATTTTTAAAAAGCTAGGTTTGTGTCTCGGTGTCTTTTGGGGGGGGGAGGAGGGCAGGGTAGGGGGAGTTAAGTGTTGTACGTGGTTCCTCCAATTTTCAAATTAACAGTGCTCCGCGTCACCTAAAATTTTTGGTCACCACCTCTAAGTGCGCTCCCATCACCTCTGACTTGCCTTTTAAAGTTTTATGTCTTCCTATGATATTTTCATGGACTCGGTTTTAATTCTTGCAGAACATATATTTTAAGGATACACAGTTTTTAAGAAGCCAAGATTATATCAAAACTTATTATAGAACCACAGAATAAACTGGTTTGGAACCAGGAAAGTACAAAGAAATAACAGCTAGAGGTACATAGACACAGGACAATTAATAATTTGGGGAAGAAAAAAAAAGAGAGAGAGAGACTTTCTCCATTCTGCTAATTTTCTCCCAATCTCCTTAAATGCACTTTTTAGCAATATTTTTTCAAAAATTTACCAAAAGGAGAAAAAAAAAAAACGACTAATTTCCTTTTTATACAAAAAAAAAAAAGTAGCAAGTTGTTCTGACGGACACAGGAGTTTTTTTTTTTAATGCATTCTGTAAAAGTTCACTTGACAGTCTTTTTAATTTTTTTTTTTTTTTTTTGGAAATTCACAGTCCATTAAATCTTTCCTCTCTTCTTTTAGCAAACTGGTAACATTCTTTTATATCCTTTCTTAACAGAAGGAATTTAAGCAAACAAACCAGTCTCTTGGGCCTTTTGTTTCTCTGTTTCACTCCCCCTTCTTACTTTGAGAAAAAAAAAAAAAAATTATTTATTTTATTTTATTTTTTTAATTTTTATTGAATTGCCATATACGGCCAGTTAAAACTGCTGCCGGACAGTAACATATCCCGGATGAGGGTTTCGATGGGGGTTTTACCTACCAAACGGACGAAAAACAATTGTTCTATAACCGAGGAGGAGACGGTGCGCAGGGAGGGGAGTCTCAGCAAGAGCTTCCCGAAGCGCGTCGGCTGGTTGGGGTACTGGCTCCGGACGTACTCCTCCAGGGCGCACTGGGACTTCTCCTGCAAGCTCTCCACGTGGGCGACGTCCGAAAGGCCACAGGCATCTGCAGGGAAGTGAAAACAAAACAAAACAAAACAAAAAAAAAAACCCAGAAGGAGAAAAATGTAGAGAAATCCAGCCACCAGACCGGGAGGTCTGCAGTGGGCCACGTGAGGTGCGTGACCATGTGTGCGCGCGCGCGGGGGACACATGCCTAGAGCCTGCAACTCGGGGAGGGGGCCCGTGGGCAGGGTGGGGGACAGCTGGGCATGACCCTGGGGCATCTGCTTAAAAAGAAAACCCCCGGCTCCGTGCGGCTGCAAGGCTTCCACCGCCCCGGTGCCCAGGCTTGGTCCCTGGGAGGCCCCGGCGGAGGGCGCGCGTTTGGGTGAAATCTGGCCCAAGTCAGTAAACAGAAACACAAACAGACGAAACCAAAAGTGCTCGTGCTCCTCCCCCTCCTCGCCTGTAAATAACAGTTAGGCTGATAATTATGGGGTGGGGAGGGGGGGCGACAACCTGGCCCGGCACCGAGGAATGGCGCCCACGACCCAGCCTCAGATTGTCCCCAAAGAGGGCGACTCATTTTGCTCCGGCCTTTGAAACTGATTTAAGTGGCCCTTTAAAACTGATCTTGTCAGTTTAGCCCATTGAAGGGCAGCCATGCAAACTGTGATCTTTCTGTTCATTTCAGCTGTTTCTCTCCCCCCCTTTCTTCTCTCCCCCTTTTCTCCTACCCCCCCCTTTATTTATTTTTGTTTTTGTATTTTTTTGTTTTTTAAAAAACAACCCAGGTCCCTCCAAAGAGGACCCCCCTCCCCTCCCAGTTATCCTCAGAACACGTTTCTTTTTCTGATACGTTAAAAAAAAAAAAAATACAATAAGTGCCTTTGAAATGAGAGGCTTCTCAGTGGAGGCGGCGCAGGTTGTGACCTGACCTTTCGGGGCTCCCCAGACAAGACTGGGGCTGACACATACACACTGTGAATCTTAAAACGGGGCTTGGAAAACAGCGGCCACCGTCTCCACCCCAAGACTCAGAGCACACATGCAATCTTCCCGCGTGTGTGTGTCCAGGACTCTACCTGTCTGCACCCAGCGCGGGTGTCTGTGCTCGGGAATGAAAAGATCTGTTTCCATGAGGCCCCTTCCCTGAGCATCCCTCGGAAATCAGATAGCAGGAGCTTTTATCTCTTTGTGGGGTGATTTGCATTCCCCACACAGGCCTCTACGTTGGACAAATAGTAATAAATTCAACTGTGACCACAGAACCAGGCATTTCTTTCCTTGAAAGACCAAGGGTGAGGCTGAGAGCTAACAATGATGTCAAGAAATTAACAGCCACCCCCATCGCCGTCTGGGGACATGGTGGGTTGGGTGTGGGGTTGTGGGACCAGCTGAAGGTGGCTGCGGGGGTAGGGGGCTCTCCTGCTCCTACGTTTGCATCCGTCAGGCAAACGTTCTGGTTATGACAGGTCCCCCAGGAGGATGATCCAGACCCCAGCCTCTGCAGGCGGCTCTGCCTCTGCCCAGCCCCTGCCCTCTAATTGATTACCTAAGCACTTTCAGAGGCACAGTTTGGGGTGGCTGTGAAATTTGGGGTTTTAGGTAAAAACCAGCACTAGAGAAAAGACTCAGGACCTGTAAATACATCCAGCTAATGGCTCGGGTCCCCAGATTTCCTTCAAACAATAAGGGAGAGGTGGTGGATCTTTTTTGTCTGCCACCTGAGCCACAAAGCTCTCTCCTACTCTCCTGATTCCAAGTTGGGGGGCGGGGGGGGAATCCAGTGGGTGACTAGCCTCCAAGCCTTACCCACATCCAAATGGTTGGTAATGCTGACTTGGGAACCCTTTCCCTCTTGGCCTTGACAAAGGGATCAGCTGAGAACTTGGAACCAGAAGGTGGAGGGGGTGCCTTCCACCCACCTGGGCTGGGCTGAACCCAGCCCGGAGGCAGCCAAAAGGCTCAGGTGTGGCGCAAAGCGCAAAGACACTTGCAAAAATCATTTGGCCTCAAGAGTTAATTAATATTAGATCTATTACTCACACAGGTTAAACTACATGCAGACTAATTAGATTTCATCACGCAGTCAATGCTGGTTTTCTATCTGCGGCAACATCCATATCCAGCCCAAGTTGGCAGGCACTGTGGGTTGTTTGAAAATCGCCTCAAGTGTTTGCCTGGGCAGGGGAGGCAATAGGCCAGAGTCTCCAACCCCCTGCAGACGCGCCCAAGAGTTATGATGGCCCCTCTCCTCCTCTCGCCCCTTCCTGGCGGCTCTCTCCCCGCTCCTGGCAGGCTGCATTGTTTGAATGAGTATATGATTTTCAAAATTGGTGCCCTCCGGTTGGATTTGCCTGCAGCTCCAACTCTTAACTGAGTTACCAGGCAAACTTTCCCCTGCGAGCAGATGCCAGGCCCGCCCCAGTGCCCGGGGGGCATCTCCTGGAGGCTAAGCCAGGGTGACAGAGAGAACCTTGGGGGCGGACAAGTTTCCACAGGCTGGGCTGGCCCAGGGGGTGAGCAGGAGCACTCATCCCAACCTGGCAGGAGGGAAGCAGGCCCCAGAGGCCTCCCCTTGGCCCCATTTTCAGCCTGTATGAAGCATCCTTCCTGCAGCCCAGCCTTGCCCTCCTCTCCCCCGCTCCCAGACAGGCCTGCTGGGGCCCAGCAGCTAGTCAAAACTTCTCATGCAAGTAGCACTCAACAGTTTGGCCTTTCAAGGGTGTTTGTGAGGAGGGGGGAAGGTTGGACTCACTCAGGGGACTCCCCAGTGGCGCGGGCCCTAACTCTGGGCTGGGAGCCCTTGGGCGCGAGAAGGGGAGGCTCCTTCCTACCTGAGGTGAACAGAACTATGGCCTTGAGGCAGCTGTACTCGGCGGAGTCGACGTGCAGGGCCTTGAGCTTCTCCACTTGCTCTTGGAAGATCCGTATGTGATCCATAAAGGCGACCACCCGGTCGGCGGACATGGGCGAGGCGTGCAGGCCGGCGGCGGCCAGGAGCGGGGCGACGTGGAGGGGCATGGAGCACTGCGCGGCGTTGAGCACGAACAGCTCGCTCCAGGTGAGGCGAAGCAGGGCCACCTGGTCGGTGATCTGCAGGTCCGGGAAGAAGGGGATGTTGCGGGCCCACTCCACGGCGCTGAAGAGCATCCTCGCGGCCAGTTCGCAAATGTTCTCGATGCCCATGATGTTGTTGGGCTGCATGCATTGGCTGCCGAAGCGCGACGTGGGGTAGGGCTCGGCGCGCAGCAACAGAGAAATATATCCGGACAGGTACGAGTGGCAGTTGAGGGGGTCCCCGTTGGTCAGCGCAAACTGCCCGTGGGTCGGCTGGGTGGGCGGCATCCTGCCTCTCTGTACCGCTGTGGGGAGGAAAGGAGACAGTCCTTGGTTAATGACCAGCCTGGGTCCCCAGCGCCCCTGGCAGGGCCTGCCCCAGCCCGACCCCCACCTGACCCAGACCCCAAGGGCGCGCACACACACACACACCATACACACGCACACATATGCACGCAAGCCCTGCAAGAACGAGCAGGCCTGCCAGGCCCTGGAGTGCGCCTGGGACTCCCCCGGAGCCCGGCAGCACCTCTCCAATCGCCACCCAGGCCAGGTCCCGGCGGCACAGCGGCACACTTGCCTCCGAGGCCCGCTCGGAGCTGGGCCGCCGAGCGCCCAGAACCGGCCACCGTGCCTGGGGTCCCCGCGCGGTGGGCGGGATGAAGCATTCTGGGGGCATCTTCTTTCCTGCTAAACAGCTGATATTTCTTATTGATTGGAGGAGAGGGAGCGGGAGGG